TGACCGAAAATCACCATTTCTGAGGGGGGGGGCCCTTAAATGGTTAAAGTATAATAATGAATTACAGTATTTATTGAATGAAGGCGCAGTAATGTCAGATAAAGTGAGTTTTATAACACATATATTGAATATAACAACGGCATTCTAAATCCAATTTCCGGATGGTTTTGCACTCGTACAGCTGGCGAACGAACTGTCGGTTGCTGCAGTCACATCGCTGCCACTTTGTGGCACCTTTGCTTGAATCAGACGGCTATCCATGACATTAATCAATCACCAAATAATTATCTTAATTGTGTAGAAGATGCTTTACAGTTTTCTGATTACGAGAATTCGTTCGACGAGGCGATAACACAATATTATATCAAATAAACTCGAGCTAAAAACCAGCTTTTGCAAATCGACGAAGATATTTTGAATATACCGGTTTGTAAAGAATTGAAAGAGCTATAAAACGCACTATTTTAGAAAAATGGGCTTTTTCGTTTTTTCGAAAAAAGTTAGCTTAATGATCTCCAGGTCGCATTTTTCTCTAGGCATACTTGTTAAGTCGAACTTAATGATCTTTTGCAAATCGACGAAGATATTTTGAATATACCGGTTTGTAGAGAATTGAAAGAGCTTTCTAATTATGGGTTGATTTCTTTATATGCTCCTATAGTGCCAGAGAAAAGCGCATGAGAAAGATTTTAATAGTGCTCCATAATGGCCGCTTCCAAGTGAAGATCCTATCGGGATGGAAGGGCTTTAACCACTCGAAAGCACCTAAAATCGAACGTTCCTGGTTTTCTGCTAGCCTCAGGACCATTTTGAGCAAAAAAAAAAAGTGGATCGATTCTTTAGCTTCTACGGACTCGTCCTTTGTTTATTTTGATAAACGTTATCGAAGTTTAAAGACAACTGAACAAACAACGGCCAGTAAATTCATTGTAACTGGTCGTCTGGTGATAGATGGTATGCATCAGAAAGATGATAGAAGAAATATGTGTGGGACCGAGCGGAAGATTAGGCGCCCGATCACTAGATTTCCATTCTCGTTACTCAATATTTGCGATCAAGTGAAAACCTAGTAATCTAGATGAATCGGGCGATACTAGATTTTTTTTGACGCTTGTGTTGGTTTATCCGAACTGCTTTTAACTTTTTTTCTGTGTAAAAATAATCGTTCATACACCAAATGCTTGAATGATACGCCAAATGTCGCTGAAGATTCGATAAAGAAGAACTTGAAGCCCGGCTATATTATTGATCCGTTTGTTAAGCTACCGTGTGATACCTGTCGTATATTGTGTCGACATCTCTCTATGGGATTATATGCTCACGGTGAGTGAAATATTTCTTTGTTTGCAAAATCGATTTTTGATCGGATTTATTCTCATATTTTTTCAAATTTGGAAAAATTTAGGATTTATAATGTTCCCACGGCTAATGAATTTTATTCTATCATGCCAATGATTCTTAGAAAGTTCACAAAATTAGTAACATTATCGGTATTCTTGACATCACGTCCGTTTTTACCGTCAAAATCCTTTCTGGAAAATTGGCTAAGAGAGAACACAACTAACCTAAACTTTTATTTGATATGTGCATCCAGGGGAGATGTTGTCCATATATGGCTCTAAAGATGACGAATGGCTGTTATCAACACACAGTTCTGAATTGTTTTTCGCTGAAAAGTCAAAATGCACATGTTGAACTGCTCACTTAACTTGTAGATATCCTAAAACTCGTAATAAGCGTAGCAAGTCGAGACTTTGCCGCCACAGACCGCATGTATTGCTGTTATTAGATGATGGTACCAAAGGGAGTTCTTGTTTTTTTGTATGCAGCATATAAGTATTAGACTAGAAAAAAATTCAAAAAATAAGAAGAAAAATATTTTTGTTTATGGTTCCAGTCGTGTTTATTGTATTTCTCAAATATGAAAAGTGATCCTGGTTTACCATTAGTCATCTCGTCACTGATTCATGATGTAGTATTTAATCTACCATCAATTCATCACTCACACTACTTTCTTGACATTTTTTGTACTTTGCAGTTGATTACTTTTCATTTTTAGAGTCTGTAGTGACTATAAAAACAATAGGACAAATGTACACAGAACAAACCATAAAATGGTTATACATTACGTACTACTGCATCTTTATCTGTCCGTATAATATTTTTCACAAAATGAAAAGGAAAGAAAAGTCCGGAAAGAACAAAATGAGGATCAGTACACAAAAAAACGAATTGTTGTCTATGTGCTGACAATATTTTAAGTTTAGTATTTGTATAATTATTTGGGTACCTACTTTCTATCTATGTGTTGTTAACGGTCTGCATATGTATTTGATTGTATGTATACAAAGTTATAGTTATTTCTAAAATTACTGTGCTTCTTTTTCAGAGGCTACTGCTATTTTAGAGTAACTTAATCTTAGATTTGACACAGTCTTCAAGGTAGAAACATAGAATGCTTGAAAGAAAGTTTTTTTCATCAGTTAGAGTTAATATTGATTCACAACATCATCAAGTAATCCAATGATAGAAAATTCCCAAGCAGTATTTCGATCAATGCTAGTTGATAAAAATGAATTCAAAATTATTAATCCATTTATATTTATAAATTTTCAAATTCTCTTTTAATCATAGATTATCCGCGATAAACTGACAATTGGTCGATTTAATTTTTGAATATATTCTAAACGTAGTTCTAATTGATTGTATAATCCAGTTAAGGCGCACGAAATTCAAACTTTCTACCCCATTTTATTTCCTTCATTTCGATACATTTTAAAAAACGTTCACATCTATTGGGTCTTTTCCTTGATCCCTGCACATTTTCAGTGTATCAATAAACCTAATAAGTGAATGAGTAACACATAAATGCATTCGTATTCTGCAGTCTATGGTCTAAATAGTATTTTTAATGATAGTTACGGGGAATACGTATATGTTTTCTGATAGAAGCTGTTTATTTTACAGTTTTTCTAATAAAGCAGAAACGGGCGAGTACACACCTTCTCCAGTACAAGTATCAAATATTTCGTGTTGAGTGCAAGTACACAATAATTTACTCAAGCAGAAAGTTTTCAGAAAGAGATCCTGTATCCTAACATACATGTCAATTCAAAGACTGCAAGACAGAACTATGCAGACTATGAGAACTATCCACCACATACCAATATCAAGAAAACTATTCAGAACTATTCATAGTATGTAATGAGAACTATGTGAACTATTCAGAACTATGGAGAACTGTTCCTAGTATACATTCAGAACTATTCGGAACTATGCATTGTAGAATTATGAGATGTCTTCATTACTGTTGATGGTGGAGTGTTAGAGCCAAGAAGAAGAATGGTTTGAGTGCTACTAGTAGTTGTTGATCGATAGCTGAGAGAACTATTTAGAGGTATTCATTGAGTATTGAAGTTTGATTTTCGCAAGAAAAAGGTTGGAGAATTATGTTGTGTGGAGTGTTTTGGGTACTGATAAGACTGGAGAATATTGGGTTTTCGACCGTGTGTCTGCTATTGAGTGGTATTAGGAACACGTCGTACATTTTGTGTGGTTTGATTCAAGTTTCTGCTGGTTTATTCTTCTTGTTTTTATCGATTTCGCTTTATAGTGAAAAAGAGTTTGTGGTTGTTGATGTCATTCTTGTTGGAGAAATACTTTTATCGTGTGTATATGCATAAAATGGATATAGAGAAGATAAATTGCTTTATGTGAATACGTAAAACAGGGAAAAGTGTATATTGGAAGTAGTTGTTTGCACACGTTAGTCAGTTAGAAGAAGGAGAAAAAGCGTATTTTTCTATTTGATGTTGAAGGAAAAAGAATATTCGCCATGTGAAAGTGCACATATAGTAAGTGAAGTAGATCAGTTTAATTTAGTTTGGTTAAAGATACAAGTATATAGAGTTATAGATTTTTAGCTTCTCTTATTTACAAAGAAAGAATAATTGTCTGTGCAGTCTTCGGCTTAGATGTTTAACACTGCGCTTTGAAATATTACGGTTCTAAGTCTGAAGCAGTATCGTGTACGCTTGATTCATTATTCAAAGTTATGCGATATTTGTTGCTTTTAGCAACTGATAACGCCACAGGTTTTGTTTGCTTCAACCGACTGCTCTTTGAGGCGTAATTCTAGTGTTATTTATCATTCATTTAGGACTGGTTAGGTAATCGTGCGCCACTGGGGTTCATTGTGAAAGAACCTTAGAAGAAGAAAAATGTACTAAATAATATAAACTGCATTTACATTGACAAAGAAATGGATACGTGCATAGCACAAATAAAAATGGCTGAATTATACTGGATACGCATTCACCAATACTTCTGCTACATAAGAAAAAAAATTCATACAATGGCTCAGGACTACTTTAAATTATTTCGTTGTCTTTCTTGCTTTTTTTGTCACAACTTCCTAAATATAAAATAGACTGCATTAGTCGAAAGGAACGGTTATTAGAGCCTTTAGCTTACTTGTCCGCTAGCAGTCACTATTCGTTCGTGTTCACCCTCTTCTTCTTCCAGAATGACCAGAGTTGGTGATTTAGACCCTTTTTCCGTTGTTGTTTGTGATGGACGCTTTCTCTACAGCAGAAAACGAACATCACTAGATTAGCTGTTTACCGTCATATATCTCGGAACATACCGACGCTTCAAAAACGATATTCTCCATTTTTAAGCTATCGACATACGCTTTGAGTGGCACTTGCAGTGGTCGAAGACGAGTTTCTAGTTTGCTAATTTCACTAGGTTGAGCAGTATCAACAGTATCCTTATGGAAATAGAGTGACGCTGATCCATGTGGATTTCCTGTTTCAAAAACTTTACCTAGAAAGCAACAAAGACTATGAAGCAGTCTTTCATTTGCTGTTCAAATATACACACCAAAACCGGCTTGCTGCAGTTTAAAAGACGCATCCTTTACTGTGACAGCCTTGATTCTTTTGACACCAGTCAAGTACGACGATGCCACGATTTTTCCAGGTGTTAATAATACCATTTTTGAAGGGTTAGCAGCACTAACTGTATCTTTTTGTGAAGGCGTATCCAGATATAATTCAACCATTTTTATTTGTTCAAAATCGATATCTTCCCCATAACCTGCTAAGCATTGTTTTTGATTATTGTAATAATCCATCAATTTTGTGGCTGCGGTTGCTTGTTTTTCTGCAATAACCAATGTGCATCCATAAACAACTTTTCCATAACCTGTGTAATTGGTGTTTGAGTTTGTGGTGAAAAATCGTTGTAATTTAATCTTAACAGATCTATAAGAAAAGCCATAGTAATAGTATACTGAAAACGCTGAAATACAAATCTATTAACTTTTTTCATGGCAAGATAGCTCAAAGTGTTCTTTTCAAAATGGAGAGTACTTTTGATTTCTAGTAGGAGTGGAAAGTTAGCAGCGGATTCGAGTAATCCCTGCTGATATTCGCTCCTCGACCCGGGTTACCTTTCTAATTACTTGGGTTAGATGTAGAATTAAATTCTGCATCGAATAGTCATATTTTTAATGGGGGTCATCGGCCATAAAATGGGGTTTGGGCTTAAATACTTGGGTTTCAGGCGATTTTAGCAAGTAATCCTTGCTGATATTCGATACCAAAAAAATTCATTCAAATAAGTAGGAAGTATAATTAGACTTTGTGACATGTTTTAAGCTTCACAAAAGTTTTTCATTAGTATATATAGATGAAGAAACAAAAAGTTTTCAAAAATAAATATTGTATTATTAATGGTAATGAAACAATTACTGTCTACAGTTTTACAACATAAAGAGCGAAGTGTATGTATAGAAGGCCAGCATGACGAAAGCAACCTCGGGAATTCAGATCATCGAAGCAATAATAATCATTATTATTTGATTTAATAATTGCAATAAAATGAGCACCCGTGTTTCTGATAGCAGCAGAAAGACAGTACCTGAAACGGAAAGCGAATTTTACAAAAATTGCTTGTAAAAGTTAATAGAAGAAAAGCTCTCTTACTCTTTACGACTGACGTTGATTTCCACATCGATAACCGGAGACCGTTCGTCAATCATATAGTTAGCTGGATAATTAATTGGTTCAATTGTACCGAGATTCACATCGCACGGCGGTTCACGAATAGTAACAAAATCCGGTATGAAGTTTAAAAACTTTTTCTCGGGGTTTAAGTACCTATTATATTCAAGAATAAATAAATTATATCGAAAATCAAATAAAACGGATGTTTTCGGTACGGCCACCTTTATCAGTAATAATAATTGAAAGAATGAAGGGATGAGATAGTAAAGCATGTCAATAGTTGTACCTGTTCTTCATCAATCAACACTTCTTACTACCAAATAAAATCAATTAAAGAATGACGTTTCTACTTTATTTAAGAAGGTCTACTATTTTCATGGACAATAAAGCAAGTTTAAAAATACTTACGTTAATGAGATTTCTGCACTAGTATGGTTACGCATTGGTTTTGGACAGGCGCTACATGTGCATTTAGCTTTTAGGAAAAACGTTTGCATTGGTTTAATAAACTGAAAAACAATCTCATTCATAGTGCTTTTAAGATTGTATTGAGCATTTCTAGTTTTCTTTTTGAGAAGTTGTTTTTCAGTAAGCCAGTGCAGACGAGCAGCAGTCCATCCATCACTTTCGATAAGTTGAAAGGTACGACGAAGAAATGTATAAGCTTCAAGAG